CTCCTAAGACAGTATTTTCCAGAACACTCCTTTCCACTCCCAAGTGTTCAACTTGTTTGCTGGTCACTCGTTTTTGCCGAGGCATGAGATCCCAATATGCCCATGACACCGGGCGCATGGACGACATCATGAGCGCACCTCGGTTGCACACAGCTTTTTATTCCTTCTTCGACCGGACGGCAACAAACCTGGCAAACAAGCGTTCGACCTTTCGGCAATGGACGATTTCCCCGGCGACAAGCTCTCAACTTTGTCACAGGAGGTCTCTATTTGGTGGACCTGAATGTGCAAAATCCCCTCCCACCAACAATTAGCGAAGCTGACAGGAAGGTGTCAAACGACTGCTTTCCTTTTTGTGAACCTCCGTATCCACTTCCACAAGCGGCTTAAGGGTAAGGGTCCTCGCCTTCTGCACCGTTTCTTCACCTAGCCCAACCACTCGGATTTTTCAAGCTCTTTGTTACATCATCCTCCAGGCCAAATAGCAGCTTTTTGTTTCTCAAAATTCACCAGTGTCCGCATCCACGAAACCAAGATATTGTTTTTACAAACAATGGCAGAAAACAACACATGCCTGTTTCCGGGCAATTGGGTAGGGGTCAAAATTCAACCACCCGCAAACCGCGGATTTCAGTCCTTGTTTCCATTGACCTGGGTTCTATTTTGAGGTGTTTCCCTATTTTTGAGCCACACCCAATTCTTTGCACCCCGCTTTCACCCACCCACCCACCCCACCCCCCACCCCACCCCACCCCACCCCACGCCACGCCACCCCACCCCACCCCACGCCACTCTCCACCCGCCCGAGGACAGCGTGTCGCTGCGGCAGCGCTTCGACGCCACGGAGCTGCGCCTGGAGGCGCGGCTTGGCGCGACTGAGGAGGACGTAGCGCGGAGCCTCGCGGAGCTGCAGGCGGGGGCCCGGGGGGGGGGGGGGGGTTGAGGGCTGATGGCTGGGGGGAGCGGGGGAGGGAGCCCAAAACGCGGGGGTGGGGGGGGGGGGGGTTGGAGTCCAAAACAGGGGGGTTGGGACAGGGGTCCCTATATTTCCCTTTTTGGCCCATGAAAGGTGAGTGTCCCTTGGTGGTTGTGATGTTTCAAGGGGAAATATAGGGAGCCCTGTGGGAGCCCAAAATGGGAGGGGGAGGGGGGGAGGGAGCCCAACACATGGCTCCAGACCAGATCCGCAGCGGAAGGCAAGAGGGGGATACAAGCGTTTGAGCAGATGGGAGTCAGTTGGTAATTGTTGCTCCATGGTTGTTGTTGGGAAACATTTTACATTTTTGCTTATTGTGGTTTAGTGGTTGAAATCCAACCACTTTACTGCTAACATTTGAATTCGGGGTGGGCTGAAACTTATGGCTGGGGAGGGGGGGGGAAGGAGCAAGGGGGGGAGGAGGAGGGGCTTCAGGCCTTGTTCAGGGCGTTTTTGGGCTCCCTCCCCCTCCTCCCTTTTCCAGTTTCCATGAGAGAGGTTGAACCGAAACGGAACTGTTGCTTGGATCTTTTCTGCATATTTTGTGGCGAGCTGACCAATTCGGGGGTAAAACGAGCGCAAGCCATGGTAACGATGCGCAAGCCAACTGGTGCCCAACTGGTTGGAATGCCTGAAACTCAATCTGCCAGCTGTCCTTCCCAACAATGAAAGTCAAGGACAGCTGCCTTTGCCTTTGGAGGGAGTGGTTAGAGTTGCGAGTGGACGGTTTATTGCAGGTTCACTTCAAATGTCTCCGAGATGGAGCTTCGTGTTCTTTTCCTGCTCTCGAGGTTGCAAACTTTTTTAAACTCCTGGCCGAGGGTCGGGGCTTTTGATATTTTGATGCTAGCCTTCCATGAATGGAAGTGGACAGCTGTGATCGTTGGAGGGTATGTTTCAAGATGCGCTACTAGGTCCCCCAGTAGTGCCCTGTTACCCTTTCTTGGGGGAGATCTCGGTCGCTTTGTTTCGCGTTGTAGACGCGCTGGGCCTGACGAGTAGACAATATCATGTCATGCGTGCCCACGTGTCTTGCAGAGATCATTTGGCTGAAAGCGGCGTAAGACAGAATGTTGACCCTATGTTAATCAACCCCAGTCTAGTAGGCGGGTGTTCCCCTCCAAAACTGATGAATCCAACCACTAAACCCAGGAACACCCCTTATGAATCAACTGGGGTTGATTAATATGGGGTCAACATTATTCAACAATACTGCGTGCATGGGCCACCTGGCCTGGACGTGAAATGTTCTTGCTTGAAACAGGTGCTTCAACCATGAGTGCGGGGTACATGTACAAATAAGTAAACAAATAAACAACAACAAATAAATATATATATATATATATACACACATCTCTTGGTGGCTCCCAGCCGTCCCCTTAGCCTTTTAGCTTTTTGGGTTTAGTGGGGGTGTCCATTTAACCCACCAAACTGTTGCGTGGAATCTGAGGACGGCCCACACATATATTAATATATATATATATATATACATTAGGCCAGCTACTACACAGAACAAGGTGTTTCCCCCCCCCCCCCCGCGAGAAGGCTTGATCAAAGGGAGCGACCCAACCGCGCGACCCAACCGCCCAGTCGCGCGGTCACCCTGGTAGAAGCAAGGATGTTTGTTGGGCCTATTTCTTGCGGAGGGACAGCCACCAAGCAAAAACAAATTTTCGTGCAACTCAAGGAAAACCAAGATACTGGCCATCTGCTTGGAGGTAGAATCCACTGAGTCTGATTTTAGAACCGAATATTCAAATATGCCTTGGGATTTGACCGGTCAGCCCCTCCACACCAGATTCGGGTTCCCCGTTCCGGCTCTTGGCGCCATCAAGTCGGGGGTTGACCAAATCGGTGTGGCTCAAATTGATGTTACCAAAATGGCACCAAAGGGTAAACTCAGTTGTCCAAAGCCGACCTTTTGACCTTTTGGCTTTCCCAGTTTGGTCCGGTTTTAGTCATGGCCCCAAAAGGTTAACCTTTTGTTTCTAGGTCCTTTGGGCAAGTGAGTAAATGGAGCCTTAGTGACTAAAACCTGCGGTTTTTGCCCAAACTGGGCTCTTTCATTTTGAGCCACACCTTTTCTCTTCCGAGCGAAACAAACCGCGCCAGGCCGCTGTCAACCACAAGGCGAAGCCAGACCCCCTCAGCGAAGAATACGTCTTGGAGGTCAAGCAGCTGAGGCGCTCCTGCAAGGAACAGGCGGAGCAGCTGGCGGCAGCTCAGCCGGCGGATTTGTTTTCTTCTTTTTTTTGCGGCGCTGTGGGCTTTTTTTTCCTCGTCTTTTTGGGTGGGAACGAGCCTCCCGCCAATGAAAACACTTGGAGCCTGACGTTAAAGGGGGGGTCCGAAGGGAAGACCATTGTCCTTTTCAAGGGAACTCCCTGTCAGGTTCCATGTGAAAAAGGTGGGGGGCTTCCCTTGGGCTTCCTAGTCCTCTTTTTGGGCAGGTTTCGTGAGTTGTTTCAACGGAAACAGGTGTCAGGGCGTTCTTCTTGTTTCGTGGGCATGCAACTGAGGGCTTCAATCGGGCTCGCTCACTGGAAAGGGATGCCATGCAAGCGATCATCGAAAGTCAACGCATCGCGGCGCAGATGAGTGCCCAAGATGATCAGGACAGAAAACATATTGCCTTGTTCGGGGCCAAAACATCCGAGCGGCATGACGGGATGCTGCCTAGCATTGAGGCCAAGTCAGCGCAAACTCCACGTAAGAAGGACACCAGCGCAGGTCTGATGCCAGTGGTTTCTCTGGACAAGCGGTGCCTCTCTTGTTGCGGCGGAGCGGGAAGCGTTCTGGCCGGTTTCAAGATCGCGTGTCTCAACTATACTCCAGGTCCAGTGGAATATCGGCAATCGAATTATTCTCGAGCGGATCTTCTGCAATTGCAAAGCAAGTTGGCAGATCAAGCTCAAGATAGAATGCACAGAGCAGAAGGCGTGTAAAAAAGAAGCTGGGCTTTTGCCCCTTCGGCCGAAGGTTTTCCTTTCTCCATCAACAGAGGCTCTACACAAGGGACATCGCACATGGGCGTCATGTCTTCTCCTTGCGTTTCGTCCGGCTCAAGTCGGCTGGCGTAAGTGCACTGACATATGCCCAAGAGGTATCCATGCACGCTGATCATGATTCTGATGGGTTTGCTGAGTGTGAAAGATGGAGAACCATCAACAACTTACTTGGGAGCTGACTTTCATGAACATTTTTGTGCTGATTTAGCACACATGTCTTGTTTCCGAACCGCGTGTTGGACCCCCTACAAATGAATGGTTTACAGTTGTTTGTCTTTAAAACCAGCCGAGGCTTGCCAGGCGGTTGGCATAGTCAATTTGCACAGCTCTGAGCATAGGGAAAGGCCGGGTTCAGCTAGAGGCAGGGGCGGGCCCGGTTCAAGTTTGGTGTGGGCTGCTTGACAGGGGGGTCTTTTTGCCACCGTTCGTGGAAAAATGATGGACTTCCTTGTAGTGAAGGACTCCTTTTTGATGGGGGTCGCCAATTTTCTCACAAAAGGTGGCAAAAAGACCCCTGCTTCTTGATGGAAGGTGCGCGTCTCCAAGTCCACCTGAAAGGAACTAGTTGCAATACTTTTTGAACGCTGACCCGAAAAATGAACCTGCCCATTTGTAATTTGCAGCTTCTTGGTGCCTCTTAGTTTTCAGGAGTCTGCTGCTTTTGGCGGACCTCCGAGGCGTCAAACGCCGATGGGCCGAGAAGATGTAGCGTGAGGGGAGGACCGAAAGTCAAACACCCTTTGGGTCAATGAGGCTTGGGTTCACTTCCCGATGTTGCTGAATTTCATACGGCTCCGACAGGCAAGTAGGTGATTGATCCATATTCGGCCCTGACTCAACACAGCGGATAGAAGCTTTATTTGTGGATGCTTCCGCAAACCAATCAGGCCAGCATGTAATCCTTGGTGCTTGTATTGCCCCATTCGCTTGTCTTGAACTGCTACCAAAGATGGCCTGTCTGCCTGAAGCAAGAGCATTCACCCATTGAAGCGTCCGGTGCGAGCAAAGATGCTGAGGTCGGTGTCTGTTGGCACCAGACCAGATCCGCAGCGGAAGGCAAGAGGGGGATACAAGATGGGAGCTGTCAGTTCAGAATCCAGGTCTCCCAGTAGTGCCTTTTTCCCTTTTTTGGGGGGACAGTTCCCCTACTAAGACAGACTACAGAAAAAAAAGGTACCCTTATTCTAACCTTTCTACTGGAGGACCCAGTAATAGTTGCTTGGCGGTTGGTTGCGAATGCTAAGTTGTGAAGTGAAAGCTGAACTGTTGGTGATGCGGAAGATGGCTACTGCAAAGTGTGTGAATCAATGAAGCAGAAACGCTCTGAGCGAATATCATGATATTACATGTTGTACACACATGTGTGTGTGTGTGTGCGCGCGTAGGTGTGCGGGTGTATGCAGCGTGCTGTGTGTCTGTGTGTCCTTGCGTGTCCTTTTTGAGTCGTGTGTCTCGGCGTGTCTCTGTGTGTCTCTGTGTGTCTCAGCGTGTGTGCTTCTGTGTTTCTGTTTGACTCTCTGTGTCTCCTCGTCTCTCTGCGGGCCTCTTCGTGTTTTTGTTTGTATTTGCGTGACTGTGTCAGTCTCTTCGTTTGGATGTGTGTCTCTTTGTGTGTGTGTGTGTGTGTGTCTGCGTGTCTTTTGCGGCGACTGTGTGTGTGTGTGTGTGTCGCTTTTTGTTGCTGTGTGCGTTCCTGTGTCTGTGTTATCTGTGGCTGTCTTCGTGTCTGTGTCTATCCTTGTCTTCATTTGTTAGTGTGTATGTGTCTGTGTCCGTGTCTCCTTGTGCATGCAAGCAAGTATGAGCGCGCTCGTACGCGCATGAGTTTGCGCTACAAGAATTACTACCTCCGGGAATCAAGAGGCTTACAATCAGCATTTGGCCAGGTGCCAATTCCAACATCTTGGAACAACGACCGCAGTGCTGAGAGGAATGAGATTGGCTGGGCATGTATGAGTCATTCACGGGAGGTTCACACGCACGCACACATGCACACACACACACACACACACTCAATGGACAAGCAGGCTGTCAACAAACAGGAGGCAGCTTGTGTCGCCCTGATTCATCCCTTAGACCCTTGGGCTGATCAGAGGGAGTCATAGCAAGCGGGATTTATGAATCAAGTTTCGGCCTCGAACCAACCAAGAGCTACTGGAGATTAGCGAGCCAAAAGGAATGGCTCCAGCCAAGTTCCTAAGGGTGTTTCCAGCATCATACTTGTCGGGCCTTCAGTTTTGCAGCTCCTTCGCAAGATGTACCGCACTCAAAACCGGGGTAAGTGAAGGCCAGGGACGGTCCCAGCAAATAGGTGTGCCCCTTTCAGTTCTTTTCCGACCAATTTGATCCCAGAATTTGCTTCGAGCCCAACGACCCTGGCTTCGGAGAATCTGCCGCGTGTTTTTTTTTGCCACGTGGCACGCAGGTTGGGGTCGCCTTTCAGCACGGGGTATGCCCTGGATTCCTTGAGGTTCAGATCGCTGTGCGTTTTGTGAGGAGAGGACCAGGAAGGCCTTGATGGACAGCATGGTGGATTTGGGCCTTGCGCCAGCTTTGCGCGGGCCCAAGGGCAGGAATCGAAACGAATCTGACTAGAGGTAGAGGCAGGTAGGGTGGCAAGGGTGGCAACCTTCCTAGAAGCTTTACTTCGATATGGTGCTGGAGCTTAGGTCAGGGTTGAAATCGCAGGATGGTAACGCCAGAAGTTCCTGGCACCTCGCTCCAAAGTTTGTGGAAGGGCTGCAGTTTACTCCGTGCAGCTGGGGTTTTCACCCTTTGGTTCGGCCTCGCGATTCGATCCAAGTTTTAAAGAGGGAAGCCGCATGCCATCGTTTTCGAACAGCTGAGTGCCAAAGTCAAAAGCTTGGTGGAAGTCCCTGCGAAAATGTGCTGTTCTAATCGTTTGGCTGCCTGGCACTTGACAGTTGCCTGAGAGGTATGCAGTCAGTTCTCAGATCTCGCAGTTTGAAGACCTCGCACGCCTATCGGACATTCCAACCGTGTTTGCTTCCATCTTCTTTGAGTGGCACTTTTGCAATTTGTGATGAGGGACAGCCACATTCACCTATGAATGCAGTTCGATATATATATATATATTTGCAAAGGTGCGAGCAACCGAAGATCTTGCAGCTTGTTTGTGATGACTTTGCAGGATGTTCCCCGCAAACCCACTTGTCTCAAGTATGTTGCTTTGTTGCATGGCTAGGCTGCGGAAAGACATTGCTACTTTCAAATACGCTCAAGGAGTCTCCGGCTACCCAAACTCATGGGCAATTGGAAGTCGTACACTGCAATTTCCATAGAAGCAACCGCCCGAGCGGAGTTCCTTAGTTTTCGGGTGGATTATTTCTAAGGCCGGGTTTGAGTTATTGCTCATGTGATGATCCTAAAAAGGACAAGGGCATCTGAGATAGCAAATACTGGTGATTTCGGGATGTCGATTTTACCCCCAATCGGCGAAAGCCGTCACTCGAGCCTTTGGGTATCTGTGCCTTTGGCGGCTTAGCGGACCTCCGGTGGAGTCAACGTGGCGGGCAAGCTTTTATAAGTTGTGGCCGCCGCCCCAGCAACATGTTGGCCAACATGTTGTTGTTGGCAGTCGTAACATTTTTGAATACACGTTAGTATATGCATCGATATATATATATAGATATACATATACATATTAGTTTGTTTGTGGTTTTCAGAATCCCTCCCAGGGCCTGCCTTTCAGTACTAGACTTGTTACTCACATGCAATGTGAAACGCACCTCCAAGTATTTACGGTAGAGAATTGGGCATGTCAAGCGCGCCATGTTTTGCCATGGCTATTGCGGACTAGCCGCTGCATTGGAGGGGGGGTTCCGTTGGTCCTTGGTTTCGTGGCGCGCTAAAGTGGTGTGCCCTTGTCAGAGAGCTTTTGCTGGTGCAACAGCTATATGGTCCAAAAGAGATGAAGGGGACAAAGAAGCGCATGGCGGCCTGCATTCGATTCGTGGTTGTTAGTTGTGCGTTTTTGTTTTTTCTCTGCATGTTTGCACGTGCGTTCCTCTTCGTTTTTTTTTTTTTGCAGCAAGCTTTCAGCTTGAGGTGGGACTGCCTCAGCAAGCAGCGGCTCTACTTCCACTCCGAAGGCTTCTCGGAGGTGGGACCGGGCCACACGACCCGCCGTTGACTTTTAAAAGAACATCAGGTTGACCTATGAAAATCAACCCACCAGTTTATGAATTGATTGGAGGTTGGTTTTGGCCCCCCGAAACATATGGCTCACCTCTCTGCTTCCCCCCCTTCTTGTTTGTTTCTGTGACTTTTTAAATTTGATTATCCCCAGTTTGAAAGTAGGGGGGGGGGTGTTCTTGGTTTTTAGCGGGGAATCAGACCATTTTGGGTCATTGTTGGATCCCAAAGAATATAGGCGTTGTCTTGTCGTATGTTCCCTGGGTACGAAAATTTGGCTACATGACTATGATTCCAACCTAAAGGCTATAATTGCCTTCCGCGGGAACCGTTTTAGAATGAGTCGAAGTCTTTCTTTCTTGGCGCAGTCTTGGCTGAAGACGAAAGTCGTCAAAGCTTTCATAGGGCGTCCTGAATCATGACGGCTTTGGATTCCTACAAGCATGACCGTAGTACTCGTGGTTCAGTCCCGACCCTACATGGTTCATGCCCTCAGAAGGGTCACGGCACCTTTGATTCACAGTCGCCGCAAAACGCTCCCCGGTTCTCACTCGGGATCTCCGCTTTCAAGGGAACTAATTATCAGTAAAGCCGGCGCCGGGGGGCCGAAGGTTCCGAAGTATGGGAACTGTTTCTTTTTCCCCCTTCTCTCTTTTTCTCTTTTTCTTTTTTTTTTCTCTCTCTCTCTCTCTTTCCGTCTCTATTCCTCTTCCTCTTCCTAGTTCTCTTCCTCTTTTCTTCCTCTCTCTGTTTCTCTTGCTTTGTCTCTGTCTCCTTTGCCTTCTTTTTCTTTTTCTCTTTCACTTTCTATTTCTTTTTTCCACTCTCTCTATTTCTTCTCCCCAGCCCACGAAAGTGAAAGTTCGCCGAGGGTTGCGCCCGCCCAGTGCGATTCGCGGAAAACCATGAGCTTTTGAGGGTCGACAAGCAAGTCTGCAGAGAGTTCACCGATTGAAGGCTGCGAAGCAGTGCACGCGACGTGCCAACGGGCCCGTCTCCGTGCCCGCTCCGAGACTGCCTCCGTAAGGCGTCACCACCCAGGTGGTTTGGGCGCATGCGGAAGAGCCGAATTCACGCACAGGGCCACGTTTTCAGCTCGCTTCTGCTCCCAAGTTGCCGCGTTTTCCGCTTTCTCGTAGTGCATCTAGTCTTAATCACGCGCAGGTGCATGAATTCTTAGAGAGACCCAGCTCAATTGGTTCCAGTACTGCAAAAGTTCCTTCTAAATATCCTTTTGTGATTAGGCCTCTCATACTCTTTTGAGGGGCTGAATGGGGCGCTTGATGGTCCACACGAGCGGTTTTCTGTTCTTGAGGGCATTGGTGCCCCTGCAAGAATTCCTCTTAGGAAGTCCCGCTTGCCTCATATTGCCACATTGCGTGGTTCTTGCTGCTACCGTAGCTACCAGTAGAGCCTTGATAGTAGATGTGTTCATTCTTCGAATCGACGAGCAAATGCCGCCGCCGTACATGCGACAGTTAGAGATATTGTCGATGTAATCGGTGTGCTGATTCGTGAATCCTCCACTTGAGCTTCACGTTTGGTGACTTTGATTACCATGACGGTACTTGCCACAGTTCGGCATGAGCTGGTGGATGCACATCTAGCTCTAGGGCAGCCCCTGAATTTTCCGGAGAGCTTGTTTTCTTTTGTGCCGGACGATCCTGTGATGTGTTCATAAGGTCCATCTGCAAGTGGGCATTGCCAAACAATGCCCGGTTTGCCGCCTCTGAATCAATCCTTCATAGTCCATAGTGCCAATCGAGCAGGAGACAACAGTTGCTTTCCTTTTGCGGAGACCTGCTTCCCACAAATTAACGTGGAACTCTCAAACAATGATGGTTGCTGGGTTCCATGTTAGGGTAAGTCTAGGGGACATGCTTATTTGCGAGGGAGCAAGTCTAGGTGACATGCTTTGCAGCTCATGGCAGGCCATCAGGTCAGCTTGTCATGACTTACCTCAGATTCCTTCAACCCCACCAACAAACTTGGGATGTCCTTTGAATGAATGATCGATTCTGTACTCTTCCATGTTGGTACGCGAGAGAGGATCAAGCTGGCACTTGGTGTCTTGGTGTATGTCGCAGAGACCGTGCACAGATTTGCAGCAAAAAATCAAAGTTAGTGGCATGGATTTCACTGGCGTGTGCGTGTCAGAACATCATCAATCAATTCATATCAATGGCCATGAACAACAGGGGCACGGAAGCATGGAGTCAAGGGAAGTCGCTAGGCTCTTGACACAGATTGCTATTAGGCTGCAGATGAATTCTGGCGTTGGCTATGTGCCAGCATTGGCAGCATTTTTTTGTGGCAGCATAGGACAGCTCCCACGGCAGTTTGTTGCAGTATCCCCTATCTGGCGCCAGCGGAGCACCACCAACTGGAGTCGTTGCGTCAATCGCACAATGTCAGTCTGTTATGGGTTTGGCTCGCATGCGGAAGCCAGAAGAACCGCCTTTATTGGTTCTTCAATGATTCAAAGGGCTAAGAAGCGCCCAATTTTCGGACACGAGGGGGAATCCTTAGACCAGTGGGAACCATGTCAGCTGGGCTGGTTTCGCAGGTGAACAGCGACGAGGGCTCCCTGAAGTTGCTTTGCATGCTGCTGGACGGGCCCGGAGCCCAAAGTCGCCGATCTTTGAATTCGACGGAGCCCTATGGCCTGTGATGAACGCGGCCTGTGGGCGAAAGAGGTGGGAAGGCAAACCGAGATGCTGTGAGCGCCATGGTCCAAAGACCCTCAATTTTTTTTCTGCTAGCTCTCTCCCTCTCTCTCCACAGCTGTCGGACGGTCACAGTCCTCGCTGAGCAGGGGGCCGCATCCAGACCCCGGCATCTGTACTGAGCACGGGAAATGGTCATCAAGCCGGAACAATGACCATGACTAGCTGGGGACCGGGTCTCTGTGGCTTGAGCAAGGCTGCGGATGGGGTATTGTTGCGGGCCACAAAGGCAGGCAAGTATTCCGAAGTTCATTGTGGGACCGAGCCGCTGCATTGCGACACAACATCATGCTTTTATCATGACCCCAAAAAACTGGACATGTGTCTATCAATGAACATCCAAAAGGAATAGACCGAAGCTTCTCGTTTGATCAGATGCGGCTAGGTGCATGAGCTTCGGCTGTCGGAGCAAGAACTGATCATGCCAACTTTTTGAGCCACCCCCTCTTGGTACCTGGCACGACGTAGAGGGCCTTAAGAACAAATCCATGTTATGCCAATGCAGCCGTTGCGCGTGCGCTTGTCCCTATGTCATTCTTCCCACGCTGAAAAGACCCCACCTCTATTTCAGCTTGAAAAGTACTAAGGTAAGCGTGGCAAGGATTCCAAGGAACATCGACAGTGTCAGCTTCCGAGGTTTTGACCAAACACATGTGGGTGCCCAAAATTCAAGAGCTAGGGCAAACCACAGGGGTTGTTTCCATTTACCCTATGGGGCCATCTTGGGTATGCCATTTCTTGAGCCACCATGGGACCCAACGCCTGCTTCTTACTTCAGACTTCCGAAACCTTCTACAACCTGAGGAACCAGGAATGCTTCCTGAGCCTCGTGGAGTTTCTTTCGCAGGCACGGCTTTCTTTGCAACGCCACTTACTTTCAGCAGTGAATGAAAAGGGAATGACCCCGAGAAAAGCCATTCTCTGTGGTTCCTTTAAGGTTTCCATTCCCAAAACCCGGAAGGTCATCCCCTACTGAGCACCAGCAAGACTATGTCACTTTCATGCATAGGTATTTTGGGTTGTGCGCGTGCTCAGTTGTGCTTGCGGTCTCCGATAGGCCAACATGAATCAAAGAGTTTTAGGCTGGGGCATTCAAGATCCATTAGTCAAGCACAAGTGTGGCTTGGCCTTCAAACTGCCATGCCATTCGGCAGTTTTTCTGGTGCACTCTTGCAGTGGTGCCACTTTGAGCTTGCGGGCCTGTGCTTTCGGCATTCTTGAGACATGCGGTTGCGGCAAGGTGTTTGCGAGATTCGCTTGGTTTGGTGCTTCTACCGCTGTTGAAGGCTCTTTTGTGTGTGCATTTGTGTCGATTCTTCGCCCTTGCGCACATGGAGCTCGCCTAGCACCTTGCCAACGTTTGGTTTTAAGCTTTCTTTGCCTTTGGACTGTTTCCGTGTTCCAAAGGCTTTGTCCTTTTCGTCAGGCTCCGCGATGAGGGTGACCTTAGGCTTTGCTTTTTGTTTTTTTTGTGCTGACTAGAATCGGGCAACCCTTAGTTGGTGGTTTGGAGTGGTGGTTTGAGGATTCGAAACGCTGGTTCTTGTAGAGGGCAAATGGGAAACCATCCCAAACCTCCAAATCACCAGTCCGAACCACCAATCAGAGGGAAGCTGATAGAAATATGTTGGTTCCGAAGAGCAAGCGGTTCCAACAGCCAGACCAGTTTTGTTCTTTGCATGCTGCTTGCAGCCAGAAACAGAACGCGTTCTTGGCTGCCTAAACGTTTTCCACAATGCAAAAAGGGCCGCGACCGGAGATTGGTTGGGTCTCCAAACGGCGAGCGTTTGATATTAACAATGCGGGAGCGATCATTCCTGCTGTCACCTAAAACCTGAATAGTTTACCTACTTTGCTGTTTCAGTTGTTGAGGGCTCACAACGTATGGTGTAGAGCTTGAACATGTCATGATATGTTGGATGTTGTGTGTATGTGTGTGTGCGCGCGTATGTAAGGCTTACACGTGTTGATGTGGTTTCATGTTACAGCCGTTCGCTCTTGTTTTTTCCCAGCTTCTCTACGTCGAAGCTGACAAAGGATGCCGTTAGGGGACGTTGGTTTGTGGCTGACAACTTCCAGCCTCCAGAGGAAGATCTGGGAAAGGGATGCGTTTCACACCGTTTTGGGTTTCGTTCATACGATTTCAGAATGAATCATACATAATCTACAATGTAATATGTATATAAACACACCCTCCCACCAATAAACATGGAACCTGACAAATGAGTCCTGGAAGACCATTTTCTTTCTAAAGGATGCCCCTGTCCGGGTTCCATGTTGATTGAAGGAAGGGTGTAAATGTGTATATATGTTTGTGTTTATGTGTATATATATACATATATATATATATATATATATACATGCATTATATATATATATATATATGCATATGCATATATATATATATAATATACACATATATATAATATATACATATATATATATATATATGTATGGTTGCGGGTATTTCGTCGGTTTCCGGGCCATGGACTTTTTTGGTTCGGAGCAAGGCGCTGACGGATCGGATCAGGCCTCCTCGCGGGAGAAGTACCTCAAGTTGGTGCCGGCCTTTCAGCAGGCGCGGGGAGAAGACGCCGCGGCCGCGGCCGATCGGCGGAAGGGCCGACGTCTCCCAAACGGTTTTTTACCCCCGTGGGGGCCCTAAAGGGATATAGTTTTTGGGGTAGGTCCAGTTGGGGTATGTATTTTTTTATTTATTTTTTAACTTTCTGGTTGGAGGGTAGATTTGGGAAACTAGCCCTAGAAACCAATCCAAAGCAGCAATTATAGGGAAGCTGATATAGAGAAATGCCAAACGAGGTTGAGAATCTCATGAGACTGCTTGAAGCAGTCAACACGCAGGCCTGCAGCAATATAAGCACCTCAGCGTAAGAGTCCTTACGACCGCTCGGAGTGAACTACAAACACAAACCCCTTTCCGCATTGACCCAAGCTATATGTTGGCTCAGTTTCTACCGACTTCTATTCTTTGTTGCATTTTGCCTGGATGTTAGGACTTTAACTCTTTGCCAACCAATGGGATTTCCATTCAACCACTAAAAGTTAAGCTTTTGGCAGGGGAGCCGAAAGCAACCGAGTATTGCTTTTGAAACAAAGGATTAGATCGTAAACCATCGAAAGCCTCGATCAGGTTCTTCTTCAAGCTGGCGGGAGCAGGGTCTGTTACAGTACCAGTAAAGCCGGGGGGGCAGAAGTTTCAAGCACACAGGAATTGTTTGGAGCGCTCACGTGAACCCTTCTCGTTTTTGCCTTTCCCTTGTCTTTATTTGTGTCATGTGTTCTTTCTTTTTTCTTGATTTTGTCTTCTTTTGTTCTTCTCGTCTTCTCCTTCTTTTCTCTCCTTCTCTTCCTTTTGTCTTCTTCTTCTTCTCTTCTTCTCGTCTTTTCTTCTTCGCTTACTATTTTATTATCGTTTTATCTTCTTCTCTTGTTCTTCTTGTCTTATTCTCTTGTTCTCTTCTTTCTTTATTATTCTGTTCTTCTCATGTTATCATCTTCTCTTCTTTCTTTCTCGCTTCCTATCCAATTGTCTTCTTCTCTTCCTCTCTTCTTCTCTTCTCTTCTGCATCTCTTCTTCTCTTCTTCTCATCTTCTCTTTTTCTCTTCTTTTCATCTTTTCTCATTTTCTTCTTATCTTCTTATCTTCCTGTCTTCTTCTCTTCTTCTCTTTTTATGTTCCTCTCTCCTTCCCTCTCTGATTGTCTTCTTTTCTGCATCTCTTCCTCTCTTCTTCTCTTATTCTCTTCTTTTATTCTCCTTATTTTGTTCTTTCTCTTTTCGCTCTTTCTCTTTCTCTCCCTTTTGCCCTGCTTCCATGACAGTCTTGATGCGGATATTTCAAGTGCACGGGTGCGCAAAACTAGTCAGAACTTACGAAGCCGTGTTTGGGGTTAAATTGTGCCCACGCTACTAGGGGCGTTGGCACTTGATGTGCGTTTCGCACACAGGAGCCTCGGGGCATTGAGCCCGGATGGCTTCTATTTGTTCTGATGGAGAAAGAGGTTCCTACCAAAAGCATCGCCCTGCTTCACGCATTGCTGTCTCTCTCTTTCTCTCTCTCTCTCTCTCTCTCTCTCTCTCTCTCTCTCTCTCTCTCTCTCTCTCTCTCTCTCTCCACCGTTACCCAAAACAATGAAGGTTGCTGTTATTGATGCCTCCCATTGTAAAACGCCCAACAACTCGCTGTGAACTATCCACACAGGCATCAACCAGTATACACTAGGATGTTTGATAGATTTTACAAGTGTTTTGTGCAATCTGATCAAGGGTGATGGTGGCCACAGGGTGTGCATCACCTATATAGCTCTCCGAATATTGATAGTCTTTGATTCAAGAGAAAACTGCGTTGGCCTGAGTGTCGGCATAAGGTCCGTGCGCGAAGGAGATTGCACCACATGCAACCAGATTACAACACCACCTCTACAAATATATTATTTGATAACTTTAGGAAACTTAGATACTCAGAATTGAACCGAAGTGTACATGTCAACTTGTATATTAATATGCAATGGCTTATTTGGGTCGCACGACATGTTCTGTTGCCACAATGGACATGACATGACATGTCTATGATGTTGCTTTGGTAATTGGAGTGGATTCTACCTTCCGCTCATTCAACAAGATGGTACTTCTCATTCACAATATGTCAATGCTCCGTTGCAGTTTGTTTGTTTGTTTGGCTTGAGCTAGAGGGGTTCCTTGCCGTTGTTTTTTCCTTAGCCTTGAGCCTTTGCAGTTGGTTTGCCTTTGATTCAGCAGTTTGATGGTCCGAAGGCCAGTTGCAAATCAACCGAAGCGGTCCGAAGCCGAAGGTTGTGCCATGAAGGTTTGGAAAGCTTTAAAACGCGCTCGCAAGTTGCATGTTTTGACGAAAGGTTGCAGAGAAGCCTGGGGGGACTACTTAGAGACGTGTTTTGACTAAAGGTTTCAGAGAATCCTGAAAAACTACTTAGAGACGTTCCAAGTTTTATTCCTTAGGGAGTTGGAGGAGGCAGTTCGAAGCCACGTATTCGTGAAGCAAAAGATTCCCTTGGGCCATTGGGGAGTCCGACTATAAAGGTCGGGCAGACACTCAGATGGCCTGCAGGTGGTTTGGTGCAGGCTGGTCGTTTGACCAAATTCAGGTGAGAAGCTATAAAGGGGGTTCCACTTGACGTTCGCTAATGGCTTGCCAGGGTTAGGTGCTGGCTTGCTAGGGATACTAGCCAGGCAGTTCATTCCCAGCCTTTGATAAAGTTGGCTCCACTGGACTTCAGGACGTTCCATCGTTGGCATCATCAAGCCGCATCGACCCGCCGCTGATACAGATGGGTGTGGTTCCCTCTTTTTGAGAGTACCCTTGGGGTTGGTTAAAAGGGAAACCAAAAGGACAACCGCCATTTGTTGGTCCCCTGAAAAAGAAAGTTGGTTAAAAGGGAAACCAAAAGGACAACCACCATTTGTTGGTCCCCTGAAAAAGAAAGTCGCAGATACTGTTCATGTTTTGTCAATGAGCCGGTTGGTTTGATGCAAAAAGGTGAAACCGCAATCTGCCAAGCGCCTCTGGGAAGCTGAACCGTTACAAACTCGGCAAGGCACAACATCTCGTAGAATTCAAATGGGTATGGCTCAAAATCAAAGAGCTGGGGTTACGCGGGTTTTAGTCTTTGATTCCATTACCAAGGTGCCATTTTGGTACCACTCTTTTGAGCCACAGCCAAATATTCTAAGGGTATCAACCCACATCAGGTAAGTAGGTTAAAACTGCCATAAGGGGATCAACGCATGGTTCTAGGGGTTGATTCCTTGTCCATTCTTTTCGACCATCGCTCTTTGGGTTCTGATGGTTTTTGTGAAAAGAAGGATCTCTCGAAAGAATGAGGAAGTGTCCCTAGAAATACCGTGGATCCCGACAAAGGCTTGATTTCCTTCAAGGAATTGCAGCCCTACTGCACACCTTCCCCACCCACCCCATTCTGCCAGATTTTCGGCGTCCTGGAGCCGTCCCTGGCATATTCCTCGCTGCGGCCCGGGCGGGGGTGGCCAAGCACATTGTCCCTTGCCCCGTGTTTTCTGGTTGCTTCCCCAAGTCCACCTTTTCGCCGCGGAAGGTGTCCGCCTCACCGTGGAAGCGAGCAAGGTGTGCACTCCATGGCCCAAACCTGGCTGCCCCTGTTGACGGAAAAGCAGTTGAAGTTGAAGGGAAGGCGTGAACTTTCCCGAAAAGTTATTAGCCCACTGGCACCCTTGTTTGTTAGCGGGTTCCCATCAGATGGTCCAATCCCAAGGTGTTCTTTTCTAACAGGGCGACTGACCCTGGGTAGGCGGAAGAGGCGAGCTATAGGACATCATGCAGCTGTTTTGGTGAGATTTTCGGTTTGGCTTGTCGCCTCTGGGTTTGTTCGCAGCTGGTTTCTAGGGCGTCTATCTTTTTTTTGCTGGGGTGGGGTGACCTTTTTGAGGTTCTTATCCAGGAAGCAGGGGCTCGTTTCGAGCGCATTTCGGTGAAGCAAACATTTTTCGGGGACTGCCCGCCAGGACCTATGGGCCAATTGAAGATGTAGCTGCATGTTTTGATAGCAATTGTTGGGCGTACCATTTTGGGAGGTGAATTCACCGCCCATTTTGGAACCTATTTTAGTGGGGATTGGGATGTTAGAGGGGGTACGGGGTTTTGGCCCATGGCCATTTGTAGGAAGCTCCGTCATTTGTTTACATTTGATCAGGGACGCAACGGGAATTCCTAGAGAAAACGTGCTTAAAACCAACTGGTATTTAGTGGCTATTCAGCACATGCTTTAGTTTCCTGGTTTGCGCAGTCTCCAGTTGAAATGAGGTTGTTCCTCTGCAACATTTGAGGACACATATTTAAGAGACCCAGCCAATCCTCTTTCGAGAAGGTGCCTTGAAATGGTCCTTTGGAGGAACGGGCCCCTTGTTTCGGCCCAGACATCGGTCATGGAGTGTTTTTTGGGGAATTGGTCCCAGGTTTTTTCGCCAAACCATCAGTGGAAACCACATCGGCGCTGAGGCTGGCGCCCTTTGCCCGGGGCGTCGCTCCCAAGACGGACGGCGATCCGAAGCCTGGAGCCCGGCGCGAGAGATGCCATCAGTGGGACTGCCAGCGAGAGATGCGGAGATGAGTTGCATGGAGTTGCCCCAAGAAAAAGCATCCAACGGGTTGTTTCCTTTTATAAGGGAATCCAAGAACGGCTCATTTCCCATTGGTCATTCCCCAACGATTTCGCAGCAAGCTGATGGACCAGGTACCCTGCCACAGCTATGTTTGAGGGGTTCTTCCCGAATCCTCCGGTCCTCCACTTGACTGTTGGAAAGAGAGCAGGTTGACATGGGGTCCAGGTATTGACATGGGGTCCGGACCTTGCGGATATGTGAAGTAACCGCTGTTTGGGGAGCTTCGGTCCAGGATCTCAAGTTTGATAGAGTTTGAGAGGCCAAAGGCGCTGTTGAGGGCTTTGGGGATCCTCCAAAATGGCGCACATCACTCCTACGATGTCAACTTTCTGATTTCCAGTGGGTCCTTTCCACTGATATGTGCTAGGTTTGTGCGGCAAAAGTAGGGAGGACCCCCAAAAATGGTGGTCTTCCTTTTAATTTCCCTATTGGTTCAATCTGAAAAGGGCACCAACTCACCACAGACACCCGCGAAAACCGGCTCGAGCCGAGGGCAATGGTGGCGACTCCCGAGGAGATGGAGCTGTACAAGCAGCTCTCAGGAGTCAGTGGGCCCCAGACCCCCAGGAAACCCGGCTGGGCAGTTTTGGGACGACCGTTCGACTCCGAACATGTTTGTGTGTGAGTGTGAGTGTGAGTGTGTGT